CCCCAAAACCCCAAAACCCCAAAACCCCAAAACCCCTGGGTATGATCTACAATTTGAAATAAGTTAGAGATCTTCCTTCTTTTCAGAATCATCTTCATAAGCTTGGGTAGATTCTTCTGAAGAGGCTCCTTGAGAGGGTTGAGAATCCTTCCCTCTGTCTTCCCAACCAAGACCATCGAATGCCTTAGAGACATCATTTTTAGCGTTGTCTCTGATGAAGAGGAGTAAATCTTCAATGTTTTTGCCTAGTTCAGAATGGAAGTCCTTCTTATCAGTGGCTTTAGCAGGCAAGAGCTGGAAATGTGGGATAATCCTGTTATTCTTCAATTCCTCTGGGAGTTCACCTTGGTTAATATCCATGTAATAGAGCTCTACAGAGTCAACACCAGTATCGTTGAACAAATAAGCAGATAGTTCAAGCAAGAATGTGGCTTTATCGTTTTCGTAGAACTTAGTCGTGGAGTTATACAACAAAACTACTCTGTCTTTGTCGAGACTATAGGGTTAAAACATTGATTTACTCTTCCTTCAGAAGTTTGTCGATTCCATTTTCTGGTAATTTTCCACTCTAAAGGATTATTTAGGAGCTTACCATGTCTATCTGTGATGCATGAGGCATATTCAATGAAAAATCAGTGTTAACATCTGGAAGAGTAAATCTTGGAGTATGAATCGTCCCATTAATAAAATGGCCAAAGAAGGATTTCAGATTTCCTAGAGAAAATGGCTGACTTCTAGGGAAATTTACAGGCATCATTCCGTCATTGTTGAGAAGACCCATAGCTGGAAGATCTTTCCAGACAATGGTCAGTCTGTCTCTTAAGAAGTAATCTTCACTGCTGTTGGTGTAGGTATACATAATTTGAGGGAAATGATGTGCTCATGATTTGAGGTTATTCATTAATTCTACAGATTGCTTATCATCTTCCCATTTCTCAGGAAGTAAAGCAAGGAAAATAGGCATTTGAATATCCTGCAAGATCATGGCAGTATATTTATTCAACTCTTCAACTTCGTCAAGACTGGAGAAGCTAATCCATGATTTGAGGTCATAATTTTCATCCTCAACACTGAAAAATCTATTCTTCTTTTCAATATCTGATTGTTCTCTAAAGACGACAATTGAGTTTGTAGAGTTCTCACTGAACCAAAATGGGCCTTTCTGCTTTTTATACAAAGCCACGAGCTGGTGATCAGTGACGATTCCGATTCTAAGATCTGTTCTCTCAGCTAGTTCTTCTGCTACCTTAGTTAAGTTACTGATTTGGTCATCATATTTTGTAGAATCGCTGAAAAGCCCAATGACTCTAGTCACTTTTGGAATCTTTTCGAATTTCTCCTTGATGAATCTGTACTCTCTTTTGTAGAAGGAATCCGATTCAACGAACTCTTTAGTGGTATCGATGAATCTTTCCACCTGCTCATTGCTAGTGAGATCTACCACGGGGCTAGTGACTCTGTTAATAAAGTGAACAAACAAGTTCAAGTTATCCTCCTCGTTATATAAGTAGTACTTTCCTTTAAAGTATAAAAACAGTCTTGGGAGGTAATCTAACATAATTCCAGAACCTTGCAACATCTCTCCATGCTTCTGCACATCAAGCCTTACGATTGGGATATTGGCATTATTGTATAAGAGACTTTCATTTCTAAACAACTCAGTGATTTGTTCAAGTATAATCTCTCCTCCACAACAGATATCGCATGAAGAATCTGAAATTCCTAGTATGAAAACCTCGTATTTCTCTTGAAAGTGGGCTAAATTTTCTCTGTATCCAATAAACTCATCTCCAATGGTCATTGCAGGTGTATCTTGTCTGCATTTAATCCCTTCATCGCTAACATACTCTGTCAAGTCTTTTTTCTCAGCGGTTGCAAGGACTAAGAGAATGCTTAGCAGCAGGCAAATCTTTCTTAACATTTTTAATTTGTATCCAAAATACGTGTTTAAATTATATTTCATTAAAATTATTGAAAATGGGGTTTTGGGGTTTTGGGGTTTTGGGGTTTTGGGGTTTTGGGGTTTTGGGG